GAGGCTTAAGTATTATCTTTTAGATCCTCTGATCTGCCCCCACCACTCGCCGGAATGCGGGAAATTCAAACCATTTTTGGCACAAACAGACAGAAAGGCAAGAACTTTAACGAGGAGGAATATACGGTATGACCATGTCTACCAAGCAATGGCCTCACGGAATCCCAAATTGGCAACTGCCAGAAAGACGGAGGCGAGGAAATCCTAGAAAAAGATGGATACATGAAGTGGAACAGGAGATGATTGGCTGGGTTCTTCAGGATGAGGATTGGATTGATAAATATATCATAAATATTTCCGTAACCATTGATTTTATAAAAAAAAAAAATGTTTAGGGCCATTTTTATAAAGATTTCAAAGTACTTAATTTAGTACTGAACAAAAAAACTTCCAAAAAAAAACTCATACTTTTTGAGATGTTCTAAAAAAAAAAATTAAAAAATACCAGTTTTTTGTTCTCTCCCCTCCCTCCATCAAAACCCGACCCAGGTTTCGGACAAGTTTTATCTTTATTTTTTTAATGTTGGGGTAAGGCTGTTTTTTCTTTATTTTTACTGGACTAATATGTATATTGACAGAAATAAAAGTGGCGATCTTAGCACATCATGGTGCAAAAAACCAATAACTAATAATAGAATTCTAAATTGGCACAGTAACCACAAAAAATATCAAATAATTAATACACCTAAAAATTTAATAGATAAGGGAAAATTAATAGGAAACTGATAAAAATCATATGAAATAAATCAAATCACAAATATATGAAATTCTATTAGAAAACTGTTACCCCATTAGTCTAATCTAACAATTAATAAATAAATTGTGGTATAAAAATAAAAAGTTAGGTAAAAATAATAACAAACAGATTAATGATATCAGTGATAATAAAAACCAGAAAGTAAACCAAAATAATAATTTTAATAAAGAACCGAATTTCATAACAAATTATCTTAAAATTGAAAATGCTATAAAGCAGAAAACTTCCATGAACGATATACATGATATTAAGATGCAAAATGCAAACAAACAACACCCTAAAAAATATTTCAGCGTCACATATATTAGAAATTTAACTGATAAAATAGAAAGAACATTTAAGCAATATGATGTAATTGAAATTAAATTTGCAAACAAACCAATTAATAAAATATATTCCAAAACCAAACCTATATATTCCAAATAGAGTACCTACTGATAAATTAACAAATATTATTTAAAACGTACTGTAAAAATGAATCATATTTTGGACAGACATCACAATGGTTTGAAAAAAGACACAACAACATAAACAAAACTGTAATTAAAAAATCATAAAAACTAAATTAGCAACTGGGCTTTCTCAGCATAATATGCAAACCAAAAATGAATTTGATTTTAAAAACGTTAAAATCCTTCATAATATATTACAAAAAACTTGAAAAATTCTGTAAATAGTCATATGGACATAGAAAATTTGAATACAGTTTATGTGAGTTCAATTGAAAAAAAAAAACACTGGTGCATGCAACACACAACTTTCACATACCGCTCTACTTTGAATATAAATTATTTTCTGGCAATGTTGAGCAATTATAAAATTTTTCAAGTGAATTTTTAATGGAGCTACATCTTAAAGCTTACATCTAACAAATCATTAACACCATTACAATAACAAAAACCTTACTAATTATATCAGTGGTAGACAGTAAAAATCTTGTTACTCCATCTGTTAAACCACACAACTCCAGTCTCTGAGTTATATATATATATATATATATATATATATATATATATATATATATATATATATATATATATATATATATATATATATATATATATATATATATATATATATATATATAGAAAGATTTTAAAATTATATTTGTATATTCAACCTATAAATGATTATGGTCTGCATGACTATTAGTTATTAAACTGTTATTTTTCATTGTAAAGTTTACTACAATGAAATTACGAGATTTTCATTGCCTCCCATAGAAAGGTCAAAAGTTGTCACACTAATTTTAAATGGATAATGTTGGGATATTAAAAAGGAAAAATAAATAATAATAATAATAATAATAAGGCTTAGCGAACACGAAGGTTCGATGCCGACACCACCAATCGCTTGTTACACACCTCCCTCCACCATTCGCCGTCCAAATCCAGTCCCTTCAGATCGGCTTTAATGCAATCTTCCCACCTTCGCTTCGGTCTACCCCTCGGACGCTTACCATTCGGCACAGCAAATATTAACCTTTTAGGAATTCTCTCGTTACTAAGCCCAACAACTTTACAAGCCCATTTGATTCGCCGCGATGAAATTACCTCTATTATATTACCCGGATACAGCATACGCAATTCGGCGTTGTGTAACCTTCTGAACTCTCCGGTTAACTCATCCTTCTTCGGTCCGAATATTCTACGCAATAATTAAAAAGGAAAAACTCCTCAAATTATTCACTAATTTTATATTCTAAAAGGTTACAATTTTGGAATAAACGGACGTTGATACGTAATTATTTGAATTTAATATCAGATCTAGAATTACTAAACTACAGTAAATGTATTTAAGGTAATAAACATATACTTTATACATCCATGAAATATTTTTATATTTCACTTCTTCTTTCCCACAAGTACAATGAAATAGTATTTTAAACAATGTCATTGCCTTTATTTGGTGGATTTAAATACTTCTTTTCAAATTTAATAAGAAAATTCTATTTAATTTCCTTGAAAACATGTGATTTACATTAAATAATGTTAGTTTTCAGAATTTTTTTTTGTTTCTATCCGTTACCTTCTACAACTTTATTTATTAGACATTATTTTTTCTAAAATTCCCTCTTCAAAATTCAACGTTATACTATACACCTATACGTTCTGACTATTATTTCAGGAGATTCATTTTCGAGCTGGATAAGCATTTTTCTTTTTTTCTCCTTTATTCAATTATCACATTCATTCAAAACTTAAATTTAGCCTTTTTTCTTAATTCCTTACAATGACAGTTAATTTTTTTAAATAAACCAAATTTTAAAAGAAGATATATTGAATATTGTGCACTTAAGTCCTGTAAGACGACATCGATGTGGATAAGACCTAGCTGATATTAAAGACCACTTAATAATACACTGATATACACTTTGATCAAAATCGTTAAGAGCCGTTTTCGAGAAAATTGTAAAAATGTGTACCTGATTTTGATGAAAAAGTTGCTGTAACATCTGAGGTACATACAAAGCTTAAATACGGAATTTAACTTTCATACGTTTCGTTTTTGAGCTAGGCTGGTCATACGCACACACACACAGATCATTTTGCGGGACTTGGTTATTTGGACTCAAGAGATCTTAAAATATGTATTTTCATTGAAAATTCAGATTAGAAAATTTTCACAATTGCCATATTGTACCTTACTATATATTTCATATATAGGTAAGCAAAAGTAATAAACATTTAAAATGAATTGCTAATATTACTTAAAAGAGATCCATGTAAAATATAAAGAAACATCATGTGTGTGTGTGTATATATATATTGTAATATCTCTCTTAATAATAATATAACCTCGGAAGAATACTTTTTACCGTTAGGATACTTTCAAAAGAATTAAGAGGTTGTTATAATAATAAACAAAATTATAAAAGTATTAATATATTTATTTATCTCAGGTGTGGGTTATTGACAATCTGATCAAAAAAACACTCAGACAAACTATTATTACTTACACTATTTATACTAAAATTAAACACTGATTTTAACATAAAATCAAGTATGAATTGGCAAGCTAATCTTTTTTCTATAGAAACTATTTCTTCCTTTGTTGCACTAAATTCATTTGTCTTCATATGCTTCCCAATGTTCTGCCAAACACAACTTCCAAAATATTGACACTTTCTTCTACTCAACTCAAGCTCCCTGGGAGATCCTCTCTCTTGTAATTCCAACCAACTAGTGAGTCTGTCAAAAAACAACTTCCAAGATGGTAATACTATTACTGGATTTTACCCACTGGAGCCAGGATCACTTCTCCCATCCTCTCTTCACTCCAACCAAACAACACTGCTTGCCAAAACAAAAATCTTTGTCCCTCCTCTCTTTGAGATTTTCCTTTTTGCGGAAACTACAGAACAGCCATTCTCTTTTCCCATAACTAGTGAAACTAGATTAGCTTGCTTTTTAACTGTTACATTAATTTATTTAATCATTTTTAACAACTTTCAATTAAGGTGTATATTACAATATATATATAAAAATAAAAATAATAATACTTTATTAATTCTGGGACGAGTCCCTTTAGAATAATATAGGAAGACAGAAATGTGGGCTTAGGAGCGTCAGAGATACATAAATAAAAATACATATATACATGTACATATGGCTATGTATATAAATAAAAAAAAAAAAAAAAAATATATATATATATATATATATATATATAAATAATCCTACCCCCCACTTACAATCCTCCCCAATTATTACAGAATGACTATAGAAGTGGGGTGGAAGTTGTCATTCTATAACCACTTCTATAGCGTTCTGTAATAATGAAACAAACAACATGTGGGCTGACGCATAAAATGGTAATTCAATATAAATCTTTTAATAAAAATAAATTTTATAATAATAAAATAATATAAAAGTTAAAATAGATATGACGATTATAATACTGCCTATTATGAGAAGAGGCATGTATTTTACATAAAAAATATAATGGACAAGTACATAATAGGTAATTATAAAATTTTTATTTTTCAAAATATGTGAGTTTTTTTAACACATATCAATGATTATACAAATAATTATGCATGAAAAGTTAACATAATAATATTAAATATGAATGTAAATTGAAAAATTGTTTTTAGACTTGAAAATGACTCGATGAGCCGAAACGTCAACAATTTGGAAATGAAAACATTGAAGTAACCAAAATAAAAGAAAAGAATATTGAGAAGTTATATTATTAGTTAAAAAAATAAGGATATATTACAATATATACAAATTTTGTTGTAATTTTATTTTTTCATACATTCAAGTTGTCTTCTATGTTGGTAATTTAACATTTCTAAAATACACTAATTGATATTTTTTAAAAAAATTGAAATTATGTTATGTTTTCATGATAATAATAAAAGTTTTAAATAGTAAATAAAAAGAAATGCAGGGATGACGTTTAATCATTAATTTTCTGCATATTAAAGATAGATTAAGGGTAGTAACCACAACTTCTAAACTTTATGACAGGCCCTCATGTGAGTTTTCAATAGTGGTCGGTAACGTGTTCTGAATTCACAATGAAAGCACTGAAGAAGCTTTTCACCTGTATGATGGGCCAATATGTGTTTTTTCAATGCTGTGGAAGTCAATGACTTATAATTGCATTGAGGGCATTGACTAAGCTTTTCACCTGTATGACTGGCCAATATATGATATTTTAACTGATATGGATCTACAAATTTACAATTACAATGAAGACATTTATGAGGAATTTCATCTGGATGACGGGTCATTATATGATTTTTTAAATTAGATGTTTGTGCCGCTTTATATTCACAAAAAGGGCACAGATGAGGCTTTTCACCAATATGACGGACCATTATATGTCTTTTTAATTCTCCAGGAGTTATTGATTCATAATCACATTGAATACATTGATGAGGTTTTTCTCCTGTATGATGGGACTTAATATGATATTTCACAGAACTACTATATGCTGATTTATATTCACAATAAGGACAATGATGGGGCTTTTCACCAGTGTGACAGGTCATAATATGTTTTTTCAAACTCCTACCATATACTGATTTATATTTACAATAAGAACAATGATAAGGCTTTTCACCAGTATGACGAGCCATTGTATGATTTTTTAAATCTGATGCTTTTATTGATTTATAATCACAATATAGACATTGGTGAGGCTTTTCACCAATGTGCCAGGCCATAATATGTTTTTTCAAACTCCCACCAGATACTGATTTATATTTACAATAAGAACATTGATAAGGCTTTTCACCAGTATGGCGAGCCATTATATGTATTTTTAAACTTGCTGCATATACTGATTTATATTCACAATATGGACATTGGTGAGGCTTTTCACCAGTATGACAGGCCATAATATGTTTTTTCAAATTCCCACCAGATACTGATTTATATTTACAATAAGGACAATGATAAGGCTTTTCACCAGTATGACGAGCCATTATATGAGTTTTTAAATCTGTTGCTAATGTTGATTTATAATCACAATGAGGACATTTATGAGGTTTTTTATCTCTATGGAGGACCTTTTTCTGTTTGTCCATAAGTTCAGATGTTTCATATTTCGGATCAGAATGAAAAGATTGATTATGACATTGATGAGACATTTTATCTACTTCCATCATATCTGATGAATCAGATTGAGAAGACTTCTTATTTTTCTGATGTGATGTTACATGTAACTTTAAATTATCAGCTGATAATCTTACATAACCACCACAATCATGACAGTTATAATAAATCATCTCACTTGTATCGGAAGGCATTGAATGAGCTGGATTCTTAAAAGCGTTGTATGCATAGGTTGTTATGCGACCTCCACTAATCTCAGTTATTTTGTCGTGGGAATCCATAGTACCTATAAACAAAAAATATTTAAAAGACCATTTCTTAAAATTTCACATCTTTAACCAAGTTAAGGATAGAAAGTTCAACTAATATTAATTAGCATAAGGGATTCTCTGAAAAACAAAATTCATGGGATGGATATGTTTATGAGCATAAGGTAAGAAAACAAATGATTAAATGATCAAGCTGGCAATTATTGCTAGAAAATTCGGAGCTGCTGCCTAAGAGATTTTTTTTTTTTTTTTTTTTTTTTTTTGGCTTTAAGCACGTCGACCCCTTTGGGTCCATTGTGCGCCAATATTCGCTAGGTCGTCTTATTCAAAACGTTAGTCCTGTCGCTTCCGCGTATCTCAGTAGGCTGGTTGGGTTAACCGACTCAAATCTACTGGGGAGATCCATCTGTTCCTCCCCAAATAACGCCAGTCTCAGCCTTATAAACTTGTCACATCTGCATATGATGTGAAAAGCTGTTTCATTCTCCTCCTGACAGAATCTGCATATCGGATTCGTCATTACTCGGAGATTGAACATATGATTATTTAACTTACAGTGACCTGTGTAGATCGCTGTGAGTTTTTTGAGAGCTGCTCTGTCCATGTTCAGTAGCTGTTCACTCCTTTTTTGCCTAAGAGATAATTTTGACCTAACCACCCTGATCTCTCCGAAATCGCCAGAAAAATAGTGACAGTGCTATTTCCAAGACGTTCAGAAGAGCTCATCTGGAACCAGTGCCTGGAAATCACTGAGGAAGAACTAGACATAGCATGCAGGAAAATAGCGAATTCCAAAGCTCCAGGCCCGGATAATGTCCCAAATCTTGCCATGAAAATGGCTATTAGGTCAATCCCACAACTTTTCTTAGATGTGTATAACTCCTGTCTCAGTGAAGGTGTCTTTCCAAGATAGTGAAAGAAGCAACATGTTGTCCTGCCAAAGGGAAAGGAGCCCCCAGAAGACCCCGTATCTTACCGCCCAATATATCACCTGGATACTGCTGGCAAGGTACTAGAGAGGATCATTTATGGTAGGTTGAACAACTTTAGTGAAGGAGCCCGAGGATTATCTGATAATCAGTACAGTTTTCGGAAGGGCAGATCTACAATTGATGCCATCAATTTTGCTATCTGAGCTGTTCAGGAAGCCATTACAGGAAAGAGGTGGTAAGAATTACTGTAATTACTGCACTATTATAATGTTAGATATTAAGAATGCTTTTAATTCAGCTTGGTGGGATTATATCTTGGACAGATTATTGAGTTATTTCACTGATAGAATCTTAAGGTATGATACAGAAGCTGGATTAAAAAGCTTTCTTTTTCTCATCCTCATTCTTCTCAATCTGTCACCCGAATCCAAAAAGCAATGACCTGATTTAAGAGAGGTGATGGTGCAGAATTCCCCATCAATCCAAAATAATGGACTCCGCCGTACTCTGTATCTCATTTCTATTAACACCTAGCTTTTTTCAAAAACTAGCCGTTGAAAGAGATATTGAATGAATGAATGAAAATAATTTTATTAATCTTGGACTAATGTCCCTTTAGAACAAATTACAAGTATAGAATATATTGTAACGTTCCTCTTTCCCTCCAAAATCAAACAACGAGTTTCCTTTTTCAATATACTATTTATTTTAACATATAACATAAATTCTCAGGTTGGGTTCTGACAACTGAACACTCATTCAACATTAAATAACAATAATCTACACTAATTTACTAATTACTAACTACACTTATATATAATTTAAAATAGTTTTATAAAATAATTTGTCCCGGTCTAAATTTTTGGTTCTATCCCTCTGTCACATAAATGGCATTGTTAGCACTCACCCAAATGTTTACGCCTGCCAGTGAAATAATCTTTTCTTACTTACGAATGTTCCGTTTTCTGTACCACTTAATTAATTCCTGCTATGTTTTTTCTTCCAACATAAAATAATCTCCACTAGTGGCCTCTATCAACACTCGAACCGGCTAGTACTCCTTTTTCACTTTCTCAGCTTGTCACATTCTCTCTTGGCGGCTCATAACCTTCCCTCTTGGCGGCCCATCACATTCTGAGTTACATGAAGCTTGCTTCCCCCACTTCCTCCCCGTAGTTCGCGCTGTTACCACTTCCGCGCCACTATTCAAATGCCATGTAATGTTGACATTACAATATATTAATATTCTGGTGTGTCCATAATATATAATTAAATATTTACAGGATAATTATGAATACTATAAAATTATAGATAATAAAAAGATATAAAAACGTTCATAAATATAAAATGAACAGAGAAAGTAAATTAAGTAACCAAAATATCAATGAATCACAAAATAATCAAAGTATCTGGGTGTACTTTGAGATTCTTACAACTTAAGTTTTTAAGTGCGTTTCGTGATCAATCGGATTGGGAATGGAGTAGGTATTTGAAGAGGGGAGATTTGAAAGAGGATATTGACTTTGTCGAATATCTGAGAGGATAGAGTTCCAGAGGGAGAATTAAAAAAGGAATTTGTCCAACGCAGCAGTTCGTTGAGGAGAAAGATAGAGGTTGGACGGGATTGAAAGGAGCTGTAGAATATAGGAGGATCGCCGAGTTCTAATGGCCTGGTATAGGAAGGTTGCAAGGAAATACTGATATGATTCCCTGGAAAACCGTGGCTTTATCCGTCCTACCGCCGTCAGTAAGGTAACATTTGTGGTAATAATAGAGGCTGTATTTTTTTTAAAAATCTGTTCCGAGTAATTTCCAAACTAAGATGCGGGGGAGTGCATTTAAGTCATGAAGAATTTGCAGCTGTTGACGGGATTGATGAGCTTCTAGGAGGAAACTTGAATTTTTCGAACTTATCTACGGTTTTCATGGGTAATAAATATTTAAGACGCAGTCATTATAATTATTGGTGCCGACGTTTCAACCCAAACATGTGCGTCATCAGATAATTTTGAGCATTGAAGGCAGGTATTCAAGTACTGACACTTTGGTAGGTAAGTGAAAGGGTCAGTGGGAGATTTTCCAGATGAGCTTTTAAGATAGCATAGGTAGGTAAACTAAGGTTTTTTTTTCTTATTACTTTGTATTTCATCTCCTGTGGGTTCTGTCTATACAGGAGTGGTTTGGAAAAGGGTGTAATGCTTTTTGATACAAATTATTTAATTATAATTTCCATCTCGGTAAACATATACTGGTTTATAAGCATATATTTTGAACAGCCCAATTTGGTACATAACAAATTGATCTGCACTTTTTAATTTAAGAATATATGAGTGAATTTTTCTTCTTTCTTCTCTATACTCAGGAGTTTTATTGTGACTTCTAAAAATGTTTTTACTTTTTAAAGATAATTTGTGCTTAAATATTTCTTGTTTGATGTCATAATTGTTTAGATAAACTAATATTGGCCCTTTGTTTAGTCTGAAATAGTTATTTATTGCACGATCGTGTAAAGTAATGTTTACATCATTGAAAATATCTTTGGCTTTATTCATGGTATTTTCGATTTCTGACAAAGGTACATTATGGACAAGAAAACCGTTATTTCTTAATTGTCTTTTTAAAAAATTAACCTCTTGTTACAAACGGTAGGTTATTTCTTTAAAGCAAATACATGTTTTTTTTTTACCGATTACAACTCCTTTATAAGCTCTGCATTTATGACATTATAGATATGATTACGTGATTTTTAAGAAGCAGCAAAATACACCCTCCGATAACACAGGAGATAGTAACGATGTATAATGAGATTACAGCAGGAACAGTGGGAGAGGGGGGCGGGGTAAGCATGCTCACTAGACCGACTTTTAAAGGTAATGCAAGACTCACGGCTAGATTATTGATGTATCGATCTGTTCTTCCTCATTTCACAATACTAGCTCACTAAACTTCACAAAACTACTCATTAATTACTAATGATTTGATATTAAAAATTCTATTGAACACTTTATGTAAGGTCTTAGTCCTTCAAGTCCTTAGTCCATTACCTTTCCACAAGATCTCGACCTTCCGACCTTTACATTCCTCCTCAAAGATCTGCCTCATTTCAAAACTCCTTTATAGCTCGCACAGCCAACTTCCCTACCTATCAAAATTCGGCATTCCTCCTACATATCCACATTCAAAATCCTCCTATTCCAATTCCTATCCCAAAAACAGTCAGATACTTCCTAATTTGATATTATAAATTTCTATTATATCAGTAGTCATCAAATGATAGTACTATTCCATACTGTTAACTTTACTAGGGATATTACAATAACTTTCTATTCTTAATGCCACTGAATGCATCTGTTGTTTGTTTTTACTATAATTTTTTATTCTTATACAACTAAATCTGTACTTATAGTTGCAATAAGGTAATGATGTGTTTGCATATTATTCATTATTTAAATACTCTGACATTTTATATTGTCACATTCGTCTTTCCTTTGTTATTTTTAGCGATGGAACACCATTCAATGTAACACTAGACTCTGTCGTGCACCTAATAAACTGTTTTAATACCATAAAATCGTTATATTAGGCAGACTCATATAACAGAAAAAAATAATCAGGAATCAATAAAAAATAAAGTAACTAATGTAAAAAATGTATGTTCCTCACCCACATCTGAAATAAGAAGTTCTTCTTCTTGTTTCATAGGAATAAGTCCTCCTGCCAACATGAATATTTTATTTTAATTTAAACAAGTAAAACAAATAAAATAATAATAAATAAATTTCATCTCTATTCATTTTATTTTTGCCAACTTTCTTAGTCTAAAAAAAACAAAACATAGTTTAGTGTTCCAACTTAAGGGATGAATTCACAATGGCAAAATAGTAGCAACAAAAAAGGCAAAATAACAATATTGGTGGGATAACATTATAAAACTAAATAAACAAAATATAATAACTACTCTGAAAAGTATGTATAAGTTATCAAATTTAACAAGGCTGGCTTTTTGACCAAATGTACCGGTTTCAAGATATAAAATATCTCTGATATAAATTCTTCAATATCAAACAGAATATCATATTGCAAAAGTCAAGCTTTCGCCATCCCGAATGGATTTTCAACACAGATATAGCAGATTCTTTACTGTTCCTGAAAACAGAGGAAGTTGTTGCTTATAAGGATACGAAAAGTGTGTACGAAGTAAACTATAGGCACAGCCAAGAGAACTATTAATGTGATCTTCACACTATAATGAGATTTGTATTATTATAATGCAGTGTTGGGCGTTATTCGAAATTTTATCTATATAACAAATAATAGTTAGATAACAATAATTATTCATTATTGCTATTTACAGATAAAATGCATTATCTCTTATTAGTTATTTAAGATGAAAATATGATTTGAATAATTATTTGTAATTTTATGGATTTCTTCGATGTAAGGGTCAATTTAGAAAGAAAGAAAAATAAATTTTATTCTGGGACATTTAGTCCTAGTCCGTGGTACAGAATCCTTTTTATCAAATTATTAACATTCACCTGAAACTTCGTAAATAGCTTCATCTAATCATAACCTACAAATATTGTATTTGCAAAAATTCTCAAAATTGTGGCTTTTTCAATCTGGAGGTCGGCAAACTTTGTCTATTTAATTAGGCACTAACAACTCGTAAATACTCATTTGCTTTCCATTTGGATTGTAAGATAATTTGTTCACTAAATTGATAAAAAAGGTGACCTACCAAAATATTAGGCCATTTGGCATATATAAACTTGTTATTTTGGCAATTTGGGGGTGTAGGTCAAGCCAAACGGCTCAATATTTCTGAAGGCCAACTTTTTTCTCGACTTTTTGCTCAAGTTATCTTAAAATTCAAGTGGAAAGCAAACGAGTTTTTAGTACCTAATTAAATAGACAAAGTTTGCCAACATCCACATTGAAAACGCTGCAATTCCGAGAATTTGCATAAATAAAATATTTGTAGGTTACGATGAGATGAAGCTATTTACGAAGTTTCTGGCAGTTGTTAATAATTTGATAAAAAGGGGTCTGTACCACAGACTACCCCCTTAGAATAATTATAATGTACAAAAAGATGAAAATTGTCTGGCATTATAAAAAATAAGAAATGTTTTAGCTAACACGCAATAATCTAACGTTATAATTCAAATAAATTAAGTACGAGTAAACATATCGATTTGTACAGATTGAAAAACACATTCTGATAAACAAGATTGATGATATTTAAGTAACAGTAACATAACAATTGAATGAGAGTGACAGTGACAGTGACAGTGACGGTGAAATGTTGTACGGAACTGAAATTTATAATTTTTTCGATGAGATTAGGGATAAATGTTTCCAATAAAACTCAGAATTTTTCAAAAAGATTCATTCTCCCCCTCCCCCAATTATTAGTATTGTTTGATACAATACACATTTGTGAAAGAAAATGGAAAGTGATGCAAACGATTCGATGGGTGAGAAAAACATTGTAACTAGTTGTTTTAGAATGAAGTTATACCATCTTTTTCATTGTGATTTCCCTATACATGAAAATACCTATGTACTCTAAGATTGGCAAGTGAGTGATGTGCGCACTACACCAGATTTTTCAAAAATATAATGTTTATGGTATAACAATAACAATTAAACATTTTTTAATGTTTAAAACATGATAAAATAACAACAACAAAATCAAAGTTAAAGCAACATTAGTTTAAATTCAATGATGTACATAAAATCAAAATTCTTAACAAATAAAAGTAATTCACAGTTTTTAAAACTTATTAATCAAACTAAATTTACAAAAAAGTATACTTACGATCAGACTCATTTTCATCAGTTCTTTCTTCTTTTATGAAATGCCTTCTTTTGCTAGTGTCTAAAAAAAAAAGTTATTGTTATAAATACATATTATTCAATATTTAAAATTCAATTAAATATTGAAATTTATCGAAGGTTAGATTTTTGTTAATTCAAGAACTGTCCAAATAAAGAAAACACAAACAAAATCATTCATAAAAAGGAACTGTTAAAATTTTCGCTAACAAATTCAAAGAAATTAAATTTTTAAAAAGGAATGATTATAAGCAGATTATTTTGTAATAGACACAGAAAATTTACTAAATTAATTTTTTTTTTATAACTGAAAAAAACAAGCAATATATAGTCCGTTGTACAGGGCCCCTTTCATGAAATAATTAATATCTGCCAAGAACTTAGTGAGTGGCTTCATTTCGCGGCAACCTAAAAATTTGTATCTATTCGTTTGATTGGGGCTTTTGGCCTAACCTCCACCCCCAACATGTCGTCAGGATGATGTTATGAAAATTTATGAACATCCAGCTGATTTTCACGTTAATAAAATAATAAAAATATATTGAAGGAAGTTAGTCCACTGTTCTACATATCATAGGTGATAAATAGTCAGTATGCAGACATTTTTAAGATTTTTATTAGTGCCGATGTTTCAACCCAAACAAGTGGATAATCATCGGGGCTGAAAAATTGTTTAATACAATCAGAGATATACTGTTATAAAAAAGACAATGGTTAATAATGAAAAAATAGTGATGAACTATCTGTTTTATAATATTATATTTCTCGATTGTAATAAACAATTTTTCAGTCCTGATGATGACCCACATGTTTAGGTTGAAACATCGGCACTAATAAAAACCTTAAAAATGACTGCGTCCTGACTATTTATCACCTATGATATGTAGAACAGTCGACTAACTTCCTTCATTTAGTGAGCTACAGAGGTTTCTAATACTAATGTAGTTTCTCCTCAATAATTTAGTTTCTTTATTAGCACAACCATGTTCGTTTACAACAAAGTTTACTCCTTCAAGGTCATTATAAACGATATCTGCTGTATATTTAATTCCAATTTGAAAAAAATATTTACGTGCTAAAAAAATTCCCTAACTTTAACAATATTTTCCTGACTTCTCCCTGTTATCAAAATTCTCTGATTTTACTAGGTCGGCAACCAGTGATCAATTTGCAAAAAGCTATGTAACGATTTTTTAAGCTACCGACTGAATAAATTTTTAAGTGATGTCTCAAATTGGTTTTATTATTATCTTCAAATTAGGGTATCATTTCAAAAAACAAACGTGCAAAAAAAAAAAAAAAATGGAGGAAAAGTTCCTTAGCTTTACAATTGAACATATAGCATCCTATCATATCATTATTTTTAGAAAAATAGTGCCTTCATTCAAGGTTTTTTAGAGAAGGAGAATTAGTTAATAACTACAGAAACGTTATCAGTATAATCACAAAAGTAAATCTTTGGGCTGCTGTTGAAATGCTTTCAAATCCGAAGAAACCACAATATTCCTCTTTAGTCCTATTCTGTTTATTAAAGTAAATGATTTTTTGAGAAATACTATAATACTAGACAATCTTTGAAAGAAAAGATTTCCTAAGTATGGTTTCAAGGCTATTGTTATAGGCACAACATTGCTTATAAAAAGCAGCGGTGAAGCTCACATGCACCTAGTATATAAAATTGGTTATAGCGTCTATAGACTATAATTGCTATAGCTGCGATTTATAATGATCTTGAAGGGGTAAACTACGTTGTTGTAAACAACTTAATAATCAATCCACATTTTTTAATATTTCAAACAACCCTAATTGGATATCACAATATAAAAACAAATACATACGAGCAGACTCATTTTCATCAGTTATTTCTTCTTTCATAGAAACACTAAACTTATTTATACCTGAAAAAATAGAAAGGAGAAATTACAAATTTATGAGAAATTACAAATTTTACAAACTATACAAATGTATAGTATCTGCATAATAATATCTGCATAATATATACATACAAGTAGACTCATATTCGTCAGTAATTTCTTCTTTTATAGAAATACTTAAATTATTTATACCTGAAAAAATAGAAATGAGACATTACAAATTTATATATAATAAATGCTTACAAATATCTGCATGATATATACGTACAATTAGACTCATATTCATCGGTCATTTCTTCTTTTATAGAAACACTTAAGCTATTTATACCTGAAAAATAGAAATGAGACATTACAAATTTATCTATAATAAATGCATACAAATATCTGCATAATATATACATACAAGTAGACTCATATTCATCGGTAATTTCTTCTTTTGTAGAAATACTTAAATTATTTATACCTGAAAAATAGAAATGAGACATCACAAATTTATGTATAATATATGAATACAAATATTTTAATAATATATACATACAAGTAGACTCATGTTTATCAGTCATTTCTTCTTTTGTAGAAACACTCAAATCATTTATACCTGAAAAATTTAAATGAGACATTACAAATTTATGTATAACATATGCATACAAATATTTTCATAATATATACATACAAGTAGATTCATGTTCATCAGTCATTTCTTCTTTTGTAGAAACACTTAAATTATATATACCTGAAAAATTTAAATGAGACATTACAAATTTATGTATAACATATGCATCCAAATATTAGCATAATATATACATACAAGTAGACTCATGTTCATCAGTCATTTCTTCTTTTGTATAAAGACTTAAGGTATTTAATCCTGAAAAATGGAAAAGAGATATCACAAATATATACCTAAATGCATAAAAATGGTAAATAAACATTTCTCCTGTTTGAAACTTAATTAAACATCACAATGTTTCAAAGATATTATACTATCAGTAGAAATTAAGTTTATAAAAAAGGTAAATTAATTATTTATACCAGAAAAAAGTAACATAATTCAGAGACCTAGAAGATATAAGAAGTACGGTAGGATTTTAATATAAAGTATGTGAAAGATGGAAGAAAGTACTTGCAGCAGTCACGGAAAAGTCACTATATTATTCAGGATGTCTACAAGAATGGGTCAATGGTAAAAGTAAGTCCTAAAAGGGATGAATCAATCATCATGAAAGCCAGAGGATCAAAAATAAGAAAAATAGATTAAAATGATTTGATGATGTGCCAAATCATGTAGGCGGATTGTAAGAAAAAAGGAAAAAAAAAATCACTAAAATTAATTTTTTTTTCTTTAAGCAGTAACTCTTCTGAAAAATCTCTGTATCTCAAGATGTCTTTCATTTCCCTTTCTGTAAATATCCTGAATACTAACCAAAGTGCATCACAAGAACATAAATAAACTAAATATTTAGAAAGCCATAATAACAAAAAGATTTATTTTCATCAGTCATCTCTGTATGAAGACAAAAATTACACCCCAAAAAATAAACTAGAAACATAACTAAATATGATTTATGACATAATAATTAATACAAAATTTCAACAATTCAAAACAAAACAAAATATCCCAAATTTTTCAAAGATGGAATACATCAGCCAAAATGTAATTAATATTTAACAATATGAATATCAATATTGATTGATCTTACCCATACTGATTTCATTACATTATTAAATAATTTGTTGCAACTAATTTCAATCACGAAAACTCAAAATTATTTATTATTATATCAGTAACTTACTATTTATTTATATAAATTTTAAGAATAGGTAATAAGAATTTCAGCAAAAATAAACAACTAATCCTTATTATTTATTCCATGATATATATCAATGTCAATCAGCTACTATCAACGAATTTTTTCAGACATACATTGCACATTCTTAAACATCTACCAAATATATAAACAACTTATGAGTAGAGCTAAGACAAGGAGATTTAATGGAAAAAGAGAATCAAACCTCCTCCCATTAAAAAAGTTCAGGCAGCTGCCCTGGCAAGTATTCCATTATACAGTTTTTCTAGCATTTTGATTTGTTTTTGCACTAGTTTCTGAACAAACAATGATCATAAAATAACAAAAGTTGCATGCAAACTAAAAGGTTCTCCCTTAAGCTGCTTATAAAAAGAATCATAGGGCTAGTTCGAGAAACTGTGTTAGTGCACAATAATCAAACTCAAGTTGTTAATAATTCACAAGCATAAAATAAATAAAATTTAAGAAATTTGATAGAGCAGTAGGCCATTGCCCTAATCAAAAGTAATCATCAGTCTCAGTTAAGAATGAATGAAATATTACTAAATGAAAAGATAAATCCAAAAATAATATTTTCATATTCAATGCTATTGGTGGCTGGTTAGTATGACTATCTGAATCCTCAAGCTGAAGTAACACTATTGAAGTATTCCCCTTTAAGTAAATACCAACATATCACTTCCACATTACAATAAGAAATCTCATGTTTGTCTAGAAGACCACATTTTTTCAATAGTATTTATATACTTTTCAAATAGATTTCAACTTTCTCAAAAAAAAAATGAAATATCATTTTATAAATATAATAGTGGGATTATCGAACTCTAACCTCCATTTTAAAAGATAATCCAGACTAAATCTCCAATAGAAAAAATAGCACCAGAGAAAACATAAACTACAGACTTCAAACAATCGTAGCAACCTATCAGTTTTGTTAACTATACAACATAAACAACGCCAAAGAAGTAGGAAAGCAGAAATAGAACCTTAAATGACATGTGACGGTACTGGTGTAGCAGTGACGTATCACAGAGTCTAATTTTGGAACATTGGCAACATGTTCCACTTTCTTGGACCTTACCGGTCCAGTAACAAAAGTCATCTTATCCATCCCCTAACTTATTTTATGAATTTTTTTAATATATTATATGTGAGGAGGGCCTATATTGGAGGATTGAGGCTGCGAACTATCACTGAGTTGAGGAAACAGTAGGAAGGTTCGAAAAAACTGGTAAAGGAACCATGTCTTCCATTTTAACACCACTATCTGTTATATAGAAGCCAACAGAAGAATACACTTTTATTAGGATAAATCCCCACGAGCATGAGGGATATCTTGCTAGGACATCAAAGAATACGATACCTACCTTCTGGAGGTTGAGTCTGGTTGGGCATTGGACTATTTATTGCCTGTGATATTATTTTACCATATTTATTTCTCGAGCATCCTTATCATCATATAGACATATATCTTGCATTATCATCATTATATTATATAATTATTAATATATTATATGATTATCATTATATACACATATATCTAGCATGCGCTTGTTGTCATTATTATTTTAGTTATTTATATGTGCATCGTTATTTTGATAGATTTTTTTTATTAGTGAGTTTCTATTTATTGTGAATGTTAATAGATTAAGAGAGAAACACTTTTGAATATATAAAATATAAAATATTGCTGCCCAATTATATTGGGTTGCTACATACACAGCATACTCTTTAATCCTTAGGGCAATAAATGAACTTATATATAAATATACAGAAGTGTTAGTTTATATTAGTAAATATATATATATATATATATATATATAAGTTAAACGCTGCGGGCTTCAAACACTTAAAAAAAAGAGTAAAGTATCCACAAATAACACGCATGAAGTCAGAAACAAGACTGCTTTATTCCTCCTCTATATATACATTCTAAGTTGTTTACATAAATGCTTTTGGTATTAAAGCTAATACTGTCCCGCTCCGTACCTTAACTCCCCCCCACCAGTTTACGGATACTCTCCGTAAACTTAAAAAAATAAAAAGACATGAAACAAAAAGAAGCACTCTTATAAATACAAAGACAAGATTCTCTTGCCCATATTATAATACAGGTACGGAGTGTTCAGTACTTACAACCTAATTCAATGAAACACAAACAAAAATATTCCTTATACATCAAAATATTAAATTAAAAAAAAATACACTTTCCTCAAAATAACTTTCTCACAAATGAAAGGCGTATTTCACTGCTTTCAAAATCTACACCACGTTATGTAATAGCACTATATACAACACAAACAAAACAACAAACAAAAAAAAAATCTTCCTTCGGGAGACGAGGGCACTCCAGTTCTAAGGTAGCTGTGACACTGTAATTGGAAATTTTAATTGTTCTATATGAACCGTCCTTCGTTTTTTTGGTTCGTTAACACTCTCAATCGTCACCACATTGTGCTCTCTAATGACTATCACCCTGAATGGACCCTCGTATCTCCGCACTTCCTTTCCCCTATTCGAGCCTAATTTGCGATACACTATGGACCCAATTTTCAACCCCTCTGTTACTTCCTTCACTTTGAGATTTTCCCGCGCTACCCTTTTCCGCTTTTCCCCCTCTATTTTCTCCTTAGCCTTCCCCCAGAGATTACCCAGTTCCATTTTGTTACTAACCATTCTTTCTGTCATTTGCTCGTCCGTAGCTGTACCTCCCCAGTCACGTTGCCGTCCGCGTAATCCGAAGAGAATTTCAAATGGAGAGAACCCTGTTGTCGTATGTATAGAATGGTTGTACGCTGCCACCGCCTTCCGCATTGCCACATCCGGTTCCAACCCTTTTTCCACCTGATACACCCTTAGATGGTCACTAAGAGTGCTGTGCAGCCTCTCTATACTTCCTCTGCTCTTGGGGTGCCCTGGAGTATTAAGATGCCAGCTTACACCTACGTTCTTCATCTCCGCTCTGATTCTGGCATTGTCGAACTCTCTGCCCCCGTCGGAGGTGATGCGATCGGGTACTCCGTAACATTGGAACCACGTCTGGAGGGCTCCTAAGACTGCCTCTGCTGACCGCTCCTGTACCAGGTACGCCATTGCCGCTTTGCTGAAGAGGTCTATGAGCGTGACCCACTTATACCCTCTCCATGTGAACGTATCCACTTGCAAGTCGCTTAGTGGTGCATCGACCGTGGGTGTCTCCTCTTGCATCGTTTTCGGAGGGTGCCGATCGTACTTTGTGCTCGCGCACACCCTGCAGGACCCTATGAGCTCTGCGATCATTTTCTTCATCCCCCACCAAAAATATTTCCGACGCAACGCTTGAAACGTCTCCTGCGCCCCACGGTGGTTGGTCTTGCCCTGGTGGTAAGCAAGCGTTATGTCCTTCTGCTGCTCTTCATCCCGCACTGTATCCACCATCAGTTTGCACCGAATGAACGTCCTATCCATCCCTAATCGTTCATCCCGCCATAGCCTCTTTATCTTCTCCCAAATCGTTTCATTTCCTACATATAAGTGGTGAATTTTCCCTGCTTTCGACGCGTCTTTGAGAGCTCTGCAGATCTGGTCCCCGCTGGTCCCTGGTTGTGACCAAATGGTTGTTATTCGGCTGTTGCCGTACTTACTATACAATATCTTCATCAGACCCGACGTCCTGGTTTTCCAGATGATCTGGCGGTTCTTATCGTTGATGATTTCCTGCCGTTCTTCCATGTCCACTGGCCTCTCTTCCGCTGGACTTTCTTCTTGTTGGGTATCAACATTTTCTTCCACCACTTGTTCCCCCTCTCCTTCTGGCGTCCAGTCCCTCAGGAATTGTCTCACGCCTCCCGATGATTCAGCTGTATCCTCCTCTATGGCGTTTATAGTTAGCGCCCTCGATAGCCAATCCGCCACCACATTCTCTCTTCCGGGCTTGTACACAATGTCCATGTTGTACTGGTTTAGAATCTCCTTCCAGCGTGTGACTCTAGCCGAAGATTCCTTTAGCTTGCCTACCCATTGTAGGGGTCGATGGTCCGTCTGCACGCGGAATTTCCTCCCAAAAACATATGGTCTAAAATGGTCGATAGCCCATACGATCGCTAGCAGTTCTCTCTCCAGCGCACTGTATCGCGACTCTGCCTCCGTAAGTCGCCTGCTGGCATATGCTACGGGACGGTCCCCCCCATTTCCATCCTGGGATAACACAGCCCCCAACGCGTATTCGCTAGCGTCCGTTGTGATCGTAAACACTTTCGTAAAATCCGGAAATGCTAATACTGGCTCCCCCTGCAGCCTCGCCATGCATTTCCGAATGTTGTCTTCCATTATGGGGGTTACTATCACCTTGCTGCCTTTCTTTAATAAATTGTTGAGGGGTACGAGGTATTCCGCCATTTCGGGCACAAATCGTCGATAATAATTAAGGGTTCCTAACAATCTGCGGATCCCTTTTACATCCCGAGGTATTGCCATCTTCTGAATCGCCTCCACTTTCCGCGCGTCAGGTTTTACACCTTCACTCGATATCGTGTGTCCTAAAAAATTTATGTGGTCCTGCCCTAACAGACATTTCTCGCTGGACAGTTTCAGCCCAAATTGTCTGACTCTCTCAAATACCCTACGTAGATGCTCTACGTGTTCCGCCTCGTTTTTACTAAATACCAACAGGTCGTCCATGTAAATTTGGCACATCCCTTCGTCGATTCCCCTTAGGAACTCGTCCATTAGCCGCTGGAACGTTATAGGGGCATTCTTGAGACCAAATGGCATTCTCGTAAATTCGTAATGCCCCCTCTCGAACGTGAATGCTGTCTTCAATTGATCTTCCGGAAGCATCCTAATCTGATGATATCCCGCTTTCAGGTCAAGAGTACTGAATACCGTTGCCCCGCTTAACCGATCTAAAATGTCCTCAAACTTCGGGATTGGGTATTTTTCATCCACAGTATTCTCATTAAGTTTGCGGTAATCGATTACCACGCGGTACTTCTCCTCTCCGGGCGCGCTTTTCTTCTTAACCGCCCATAGCGGGCTATTATATGGCGACCTGCTATCGACAATTATCCCCTGCTTCTTTAGACTCTCCAACTCTTCCCTAATGTATTGGCGCAGTGCCTGCGGATACCTCCTCTCTTTCACGTAGCTCACCTTTTCGCGCTTCAGCGGGATCTCGTGCACCGTTTTGCCCGTCACCCCCAACGTATCTCCCTCCTTGAAAAAGATGTCTTCGAATTCCCTTCTCACGACTACTCTCCAATCCTCCGCCCGACTTCAATCCTCCAGTCCTCATGCCCCTCTATTGCCATCGTACTCGTATACCTGATTCTCCCCATCTTTATTTTCCACTCCTCCCTTCTATATGCGATTCGCACGCCCACCTTCCCCAACATATCACATCCTATGATTACCTGGTATACCCGCGGCATTTCTCCCACTACATGCACCGTAAGTTTACCTCCCTTGGCTGCCCACCTCCTCAAACCTATTTCCACTTCCCCTTCTACCCCACACGGGCCACCCAGGGTGATTAACTTACAATTACATACCTTGACTTGGAGTGTCCTCTCTCCATCGTACAGCTTCTTCAACACTCCCCGTTTCATGATGGTGTTGGAACTCCCGGTGTCTACCAGGCATCGCACTCCTCCCACCTCTATTATAGGTAACCAGCAGCTTTTACCTCTGATGCTACAACTCACTAGCGTGCGGTCACCCCTCGCCTGACACTCTCCTCAGATCCTCTCCACGGTTTGTCGGCGTCCACTCCTTCCGCTGCTTCTTCCTCGACTCCTCTCGTTCTCCCGGCTTACTGGGTCCTCTATTTCTTCTTCTGTCTCCGTGGCCAAGGATTCCTTCGACGAGTCTCTTGATGACTCGCTCCTCCTTGTGTGTATCCTTCTTCTCCTCACTTCCTGGGCATTTACCTCCATCGGCTCAACCCTCTGTGAGCCT